TCATCACCGTCAGCATCTCGAGGAGCGGCGACTCGACTTTTCCCTGAAAAGGCTTTAGAAAGAGGGCAAGCTAGCAGAGATTCTTTGCCGCAGCTTCAAACCGGAGTAGCTGTCCTCAAAGAACTCTGCAAAATGGATTCTTGCGGAATCCTGAGCAAACTTGCCGAGCTCCTTTCCACGTTACCTTTCTGATGGCTCGTATATGCGGGTTCTTCGGATCAACGATGTTTCCCGGCACATATTTCTGATTGTACCACAGATCGGTGACCACCATTTGGTTCATCGTCAGTGTGCCCGTTTTGTCACTGCAGATTACGGTAGCCGCGCCAAGTTCGTCTGAAATGGGGTGAGAGAGTGGAGGAGAGAAAGCGAGGGGAGAGCGATAGAGAGATAGAGAGAGAGCGAGTGAGAGATAGAGAGAGAGTGAGAGAGAGAGACGCAGAACGCCCAAACTTACCGATCAAGTCCAACTTCTTGATGTAGATGTTCTTCTGGGCACAGCGACGAGCGATAATTCTGAAAAACCAATTTTAAAGGACCGGCAAGGCAAAAATCACCTCAGCTGTGAGAGTACGGTAGCCGGAAGGCCCTGAGGGACATTGGCAACGATTATGACGAGGAAACCAGTGACGAAGTGGTCGAGCACGTTCTCGAATCTGGAGGGAAAAACTGATTTTTAGGGATGGCGAGCTAGCAGAGATTCTTTGGGATCAAAGTTGAGTAATCTGGCTGGAAATACAGGGTGAGGCATATATATGGCAACACTTTCCGGGTCTCTAAAAAAATTAACAACGCTGGCTGGGTTTCAATAATTTGCTGAAATATGGCCACAGAGGTCCCGTAACCACTCTTAAAATATTAGAATGCAGCAACCCTATAAACTTTGTTCTGAAGCAAAAACTGGGTGTGGTAAGGGTGGCGCTGGCACGGAACCCCTTGGAAGCCAATTTCAGCATGGTTTGGAAAATTCGTTTTGGGTACGAATGACCCCTAAAAACATGTGTACTACCTAGTAGTGACAGCTAAACGTAATAAAAACAATTCATTTCCTTTAAGTAGGCAGAAATTTTAGAACTGTTCTCGGCTGTTCCCAAAAAATCATAGTAAAAAAAGTAAAATACCTTTTTTTGATCTTTACGCATTGAATTGCTTGGTTTAAACGCCCGAAATTGGTTCAACCCAATGCCTAAAATGTAAAAAATTGCTTAAATAACACAATGCAATTGGCAGGCATTTATAATTAATTTTAAGTGGTCAATGTAAGGGTGGTCAGGGGTGGGTAAGCGCGCGTTTTTTGAATATAGAAAAATTCCCTCGCCAGTTTCCGACTAAAAGATTTTTGGTAAAAGTAAATAAGATCAAACTGAACTTAAATGCAAAACCCTGGAGCAGAGCGACCAATTTCCGGGGTTCCAGGAGCAGCGTGACGACACCCCGCTTTTACGCCAAAATGGCTAAACTTCCCGTTACTATAAATCAAAAATTAAAAATTTTACAATCGTTTTCATTTGTCTCCTGCATAAAGAAACACTAGTTCTTTTATAGGAAACATACAATCCTCCAAAAAAATAATTAGTTTTCCGCTAGCAGGCAAATTAGTATGATCTGGGGTGTTGCCATATATATGCCTCACCCTGTAGATTCCTCAATGATCTCTGCTAGTTGCCACGAGCCGGATTGGGCAAGCTAGCAGAGATTCTTGAGGAGACCGGAGCTCAAATGCTCTGCTAGTTGCAGAGAGAGAGCGAGAGAGAGGGAGAGATGGAGAGGGAGAGAGAGAGAGAGAGAGAGGCAGAGAAAAAGACCAACTTTGCGACGATGCATCCAAGAATGAACGTCGCCGACGCCATGCAAATCGCCAGCATCGTTACGAAATTGGCGAAACCTCTAAATATTCACCATTTTCGGTTTTACGCTACAAACTACAAACTACAGACTACAAACTCCGAAAAATTTATCAAAAATGATTTGTTGTAGCGAAAAACAGCTAGCAGATCCATAGTTTTGGTCAGACTACAAACCACGACTCAAATTTGATTAAAAGTTGTAGTCTGTAGCCCAAAAAAATCTAAACTACAAACAAAACGGCAAACTACAAAGTACAAGTTCTATTCGGCTAGATTTTGTAGTCTGTAGTCCAGAAAAGCCAGTTTTAATTTCCTTCGAAAAATTGTAGTTTGTAGTCCAGCCTACCGTAGCTCCTTTTGCAGCTTCGTCTCAATAGCAGGCTGTGTGTGCATTTCGGCAATCTCGCCAAGTACCGTAAACTTTCCAGTACGAATGGCTACGCCCATTCCGTCACCCTCCGTACAGTAGGAACCCTGGAAATGGGGCGAAAATGACAAATTACGGTTTAAAGGTGGTGGGACAGTAAAAATCCGGTTTTCCTAAAGAGACATTGCAAGCCCGCCCCTTACCTTAAAAGCGATATTCTTCGCGTCAAAGGCCGAAATGTGAGAGGCGACCTCGCTGGCAGCGTATTCGGCTGGTTTCCGGTGACCTGAAAAGAGTACGGTGGGCTACAAAGTACAAAATTTTTGCCAACAAACCTCAAACTGGACTACAAGCTACAAATTGTCGTCTAGAAACACAAACTAAAAATGACAAACCAAATTTCCTTTAGAAACGTCTGGATACAAAATACAAGCTACAAAAATCTAGAGTACAAACTACAAAATTTACCTGTCACTTCCGAAGACTCGATCTTCATGCAGTGAGCCTGGAGAATGCGAACGTCGGCTGGGATACGGAAACCCTGTCTGGAAGGAGAGGTGTAGTTTGTAGTCTGTAGTCTGGATGCCAGTTTAGCCATTCCTAAGTAAAAACCCCATAAATCGCCAGTGTGGATGCCGGTTTAGAATTACCTTACCTAATAACGACAATATCCCCGACGACCACTTCAGCAAGGTCAATTTCTTTCTCCTCACAATCCCGGATGACAATGGCTGTGATGGGGAGAAGCTTCTTGAAGTTTTGTTGGACCTGAAAATCGTAATTTGTCTCATCTCCCTCTTTCTCTCCCGCTCTCTCTCACTCACTCTCTCCCCGTCTCTCTCGCTATCTCTCTCGCCAGCTCTCTCTCGCTCTCCCTGTCTCTCTGTCTCTCTCTCTCTCTCGCTCTCTCTCTCTCTCTGTATGTCTCTCGCTCTCCCTGTCTCTCTGTCTCACTGTCTCTCTCTTTCTCTCTGTCTCTCTCTGTGTCTCTCTCCCTCTCTCTCTCTTTCTCGCCTACCGTACCATCCTGGTCTTCCTCTCCTGATGTATGGAAAGCAGACACATAAAAAAGACGACACCAAGGAGTATGGCAGCACAATAGAGATTGAGGGGCTCATTGAAGCCGTGGGCCAAATGCACAAAGTACGTGATCACCGACAGCATTGACGCGCCTGAAAACACGATTTCACGAAATATCCTGCCGTAATTGATGCAAAATCGATTACGACATGGAATTACCGGTGAGTAGGACCCAGAATTTGAAGTGAAATTGCGAGGCGAACGATCGGATGAGGCTCTTTTCGGCCGGCGGCTCAATGACGTTCGGCCCGCCATCTTGGAGGCGTTTTCTGGAAACCGGCATTTTGCGGATCCACGATCCGACATTTTAAAGGGAGCGTGACACCTCGAAAGCTACCGTACTTTGCCTCCTCGGCCGATAGCCCATCTGATCTTGACGGATCGGGGGCATAGATGAAAGAGTCGGGGTAGACATCCTGGAAAAATGGAGGTGATAGGGCGAGCTAGCAGAGATTCTTTGAGGAAATTCGGGGCAGGCTAGCAGAGATTCTTTGAGGAAAATTCTGAAATCACGAAAGCTAACCTGCAACTGCGTTATCGTAAGGTGATGCTCGACAAACGACGAAATAACGGCATTCCTGGCCTCTGTCGCGTCAGCTGTATCGTGGCGGACACGACGGCGACGACGGGAGAATAAACGATTCACACCTCGAGAATCGGACGAGTCGCGGGTTTCTGAGAAATACGAAATGAAATCTGCTAGCCTGCCTTTCAGCTTAAGGGGCTCGGAAATCGGAAACACGGCCCCAGCGTTGATTCCTGGCAAATAGCCAGATGCCGCCGCAACGCGACCGCGACGCATGGCCTTTTGCCCTGGATTGGACGTGAAAACGCTTGAATTTCAAAATTTTGACGCTATTTCTGGAATCCTCAGCGAATTTTGATCATTCTAGACTTTTTAATGATGAAAATTGCTGAGAGAATGACCGAGATCGAGAGATTGGGTGTCTTACAACGCATTACGACATGTAATTCCTGCACACTCAAAATACCGTTTTCGCCGGGAGAACTTTTCGGTTTTTCTCAAATATTTTTGTAGGTTCAATCCCCGTCGGCGCGAATTCTGACTTCCCAACCCCTTTAAGGTTTCACAAATGGTCTCTGCTAGACTGCCTAACTGACCTCTTTCCTCTAATGAGATATTCCTGAATGCCGGACCCTCGTCCGGATCGTCATCTTGGGGTTTTATCGTCATCTGGCGGGAGAGAGCATTGGCTGGAGAGAGTGTATTGAGAGAGATAGAGAGATAGAGAGCGAGAGAGAGAGATGACGCGAAAAAGTTTAAGGTCTTTAAAGGCGCCTGCAAGGCTAATTTCTGTGAATTCCAGGTCGTTAGGCAGCAAATTACAGTTTGTAGCCTGTAGTCCGGCTGACAGTTTAGCGATTTTCTGAAAATTTTTTGGCAAAAACCTTAAAAAAATGCAAAAAGAAAAAGTTGGTTAGGGCCGGGAGTCGAACCCGGGCCTTGACGATGGGAGTTTGTAGTCTGCAGCTAAAGGATAAGGTGTAGTCTGTAGTCTGGATGCCAGTTTGGTGATTCCAATCAAAATAAACCCAAAAACTGTCCAACTAGTCGAGATAGAGGGGGCATAGATCTCTCTAGGGGGGTGGGGTGCAACCTGTGGAAAATCCCCCCGGCTTTCCAGAGCAGCGGAAACGGTGCGTGACGAGAGAGAGGAGAGAGGGGAAGGGATGGATTGGGATCGGGGGGACAAAATGGTTGATGTCATTTTCTATCCTTTCTCTCTCTCTCTCGCTCTCTCTCTCTCTCTCTCTCTCCCGTCGATACTATAAAACCAGGGCTTTACGATGAGTTGTCAAACGGAAAAAAGGCGAAAGAAGGGATCAACGACGGCGCAACACCAACCGATCAACCCGCAAAAAAGCTGCCAATTTCATGGCAAAACACCCGAAAAAAGCGAAAAGCAAAAGGTTGGCACCGGTCGGGAATCGAACTCGGACCACCCGGTTGGCAAATTTTAGTTTGTGGCTTATAGTCTGGCTGCCAGTTTAGCCATTTCCATCAAAACACAGGTGGAAACAAAAGGTATCCGCTACAACTCGCAAAACGCAAAACGCAAAAAGCTTGCCGCGGCCGGGAATCGAACGCGGGCCACCAAATTGGAGAATTGTAGTTTGTAGCATGTAGTCTGGCCACCAGCTCAGCCATTTCCATCAAAATCCAGGTGGAAAAACCAAAAAGCAAAAAGTTGGCCGCGGCCGGGGGTCGAACCCGGGCCTTGAGGGTGGTAGACGGGGACACAAACCGATTGGCCACACGAACAAATGTCAGATGCCGATTCTGACCTTTCGAAAATTGAGAAAAAATGGTCGGAAAATTATAAAAACTATATGTATTAGCAATACTATAAAATCGATGATAATAGATGGCGTAATCGATTGGGTTGGCACGCCAGAAAACCTCAAATTTTCCCATTTAAAACTTTCGATTTAATTTTGAGAAATTTTAGGCGAATAAAATAGAGGAAACAATGCTTAATTAGCAGTGTGGAAATTATGAAGCAGCGACTGCGCGGAGGAGAATCAATTGGAGGCCGGGCTGGAGAGAGAAGGGGAGCACGAGCGGAAAAGGAGCACCACGAAACACATCAATCATTTATCATTTAGCATGGTGGACAGACAGACAAACGGACAAACTGACAGACAGACAGAGAATGAAACAAATTGCCTGTTAGACAGCAGGATCACTGGCCTGATGGCCTGGGTTCGACCCCCCGCCGCGCCAAACGTTCTGCTTTTTGGAATTTTCCTTGAGTTTTCTCTCTCACCCTTTCTCTCTCTCTCCCTGTCTCTCTCTTGCTCTCTTGCTCTCTCTCTCACTCTCTCTCCCTCCCTGTCTCTCGCTTGCTCTCTCTCTCTCTCACTCTCTCTATTTCTCTCTCACTCTCTCTCTCCCTCTCTCTCTCTCTCTCTCTGTCTTTCTCTCTCTTACTCTCTCACTCACTCGCTCTTACTCTTTCTCGCTCTCTCTCTCTCATTGTCTGTCTCTCTCTCTGTCTCTCTCCCTTATTCCATCATCGCAAATAAATACTTTATCAAACTTTTCAGAATCACCTGAGATCACGGGGGGCGTAGTATTTTGGGGGTAATGAGCACCGAGTTCCAGTAGAAACCAAAAAAACACACAAAAAAGACAAATAAGAGCTATCATCAAGAAAATCGAGACTTCAACGGCCCTTTAAAAAGTGGGCGTGGCTTGCTAAAAAGATCGTTTGCGATGTCGTGGCGGTCGGGGGGATTGGCGAGGGCCCTGGGTGAAATGACGAGACGATTCTCGAGACGAATGCCCATTCCAGTCGCTGAAAATCGAAAATAGGGCAAACCGGCAGAGATCTTTGCGGAATTGGACTAGTTGTCACCCAGCTGTTACGCCCCCTTTAAAATGACCCACCTCGACACATCCGTCCTCACGTATCGTTGCGTAGGCCGCGACGCCCTGGGTGGTCGATGGGATGGCGGAGGGCGACTGCTACGCGTCACTACAACATTACATCGCGTAATTGCGTCTGGATTCGCGTAATTTGGCAGCCAGTTGGGTTATTTAAGCAGGAGACACATTGAATTTCGGTGTGAATAACATTCAGAACCTCCAGAAAACTTCAATTTTTTCGATTTTCCGCCCGATTCCTCTTGACGTATGGGGTACTGTAGCGGCGTTTAATGTACCATTAGAAAGAGGAGATCGAGATTTATCAGTTCTCAAATGTTGACTACTGTAGCCCGCTGGAATATCATTTTATCAAGCCTGAAAGTCGACAAAAATTCGGTTTTTCGCGATTTTTTCGATTTTCCGAGGCATTCCTATTGACGCCTGGGGGGTACGGTAGCGGAGTCTGATACATCCTTTAAAAAAAGAAAGTCGAGTTCTATCAGCTACTAAAGTTTTAGCTACCGTATCCCATTGAAACCCCCATTTTTAAGCCACTAAAGTTAGAAAAAAAAACGAAATCTGAAACGTTCTAAAAGACACCTCTTTCCACCCCTCAACTTACCGGACGTTTTGTGGATTACGGTAGTTCGGCCCTGGGGCTCGAGAAGTGCCTGACGGCCCGATGGATGACGCTTATACGAAATGGCCACAGATCTGAAAAAATGGGGGTTGTAAATTGTAGCGCTGTGGAAATACATGTCGTAATCGATTCGGCCTCTGTTTTAGGTGGCGTAATCGAAAAACCACGCGATATTTCGATATTTTTTGCCTAAATTACTCTTATGGCAGAGAGTATAGCAATTCCTCATCCTTTTGCGAAAAAAATTGGACCGAAAATTGGCCTTTTCCTGTCGTAATCGATTATCCTAGTTGGCGAATTATATGGCGTAATTGAATAGCCGTAGCGAATTTTGGCGTGTTTTTTACATAAATGGCGGCGCTGGCAGACGGTACAGCGATTCTTAACACCTTTTGCGCACCATTCCATGCCGTAATCGAATCTGGGCGAATTAGGTGGCGTGAGCGATTCGTCGAGTGGGAGATTTTGATGGCGTAATTGAATACCCATATGGAATTTTGGCATATTTTTGCATAAATGGCTGCGCTGGCAGACAGTACAACGATTCTTAAAACTTTTTGCTCACAATTTCATGTCGTAACCGATTGCAGGCTACAAAGTACAACCGACCGGTCAAAATGTGGTTTCCTCCTGTAGTCGATGAGGAATAGACCGAGACATGTGCACAGTATCCCCACCACTACACCTATCGCCACCAGCAGCAGCAACAGGATCAGCGGAAACGCCTCTAAAAATACAAAATCAAAAATTGAAGCTTTAACTTTAAAAATTAAATTTTTTTGACTCCTCAAAAATTTTGAATTTTGACTCCAAGAAATTTGGATTTCTAAAATTTATTTCACATTTTGAACTTTTTTGAAGACAACTAGCAAGGATTTTTGCGGAAATCACTTAAAAAAAGGTGAGAATTAGCTTTCAAGCTTTGAAAATTTAAAATTTTAAAAATTAAAAATTAATTATGAATTTAAAAAATTTAAATTTTGAAAACTGCGTTTTTCATTTTCTGATTTTTTTTGAGCCTTTTACAAGCCAGCTAGCAAGGTTTCTTTCCGGAAATACTGTAAAAATTGGCTTAAATTAATTAATACAAGATTTTAATCAATTAATTTTAAAAATAAATTTAGATTTAAATTTAAATTAATTAGTTTTCATAATTCCTTTAAGAACTTTCCAAAATAAGTTGTAAAATTATTTTTCAAAAAAACCCCCATAAACGGACCGTCAATAGTATGGGCGATTCCGTGGGTGTTGTCATTAGTTGTGGTTCGTTCTGTGTGTCTCCTCTGCGTCTCCTCAATCTCTCCGCCTGCTCCAATCTCTTCTGGTGGAGGAGCATGAGGGTCTTCTCGATCATCAACGGGCGAGATCAGGAATTCCTCTTTTCGGACACGTTCCTGAATCCCACAAAATCGGAAATTACCGGGCGTCCCAAAAATCCCGCCTTCCGCTAAAAATTTATGCTAGCTAGCTTCCGCATTTGCAAATTCTCTCGGTTAGATTTCCCGGGAAAATAGTATACAGGGTGTCGCAAGAAAAAACCCCCCCCCCCCTACCTAGCGGTCCGCAGTCGATTCCGATTTTTACGATTTAGGTATCTATCGAAAGCTCTCGAAAAGGCGAGAAAACAAGGAGGGTTGAATTTCTTAATTAAGCCTTTTTATTTGCTAATTTTATGTCCAAAAACCATGAAAACTGCTGATTTATGCGAGATCTGCATGCTAATTGCGAAATTCCTGATGAAAAACTCCCGGCTTTTTAGGAAAACCTGAAATATCGATAGAATCAGATTAAATCTTAGAAAACGAAACCCGCTTGTTTTCTCGCCTTTCCGAGAGCTTTCGATTGGTATAAAAATCATTCCGATCCGATCCGATTGACGGCCTCTAGAGGGGGGGGGGGGGGGTTGGGACACCCTGTATACAGGGTGTCGCAATAAAAAAAGTGTCGGATCCGAACACACCAATCTTCAAAACCAGGTTTTTATTCGAGTCCGCAGTTTTACAAGCCATTTTCTCAAAATTTTATCGCTGTTCGGGATTTCGAGATTTCATTTCGGAGGTTGCATACGAGGTGATTTGCCTCAATTTCTTCATACAAAATGACCGAAAGTAGGCGTTAATTATTTCCTTTTTTTATCCTTTCAATTTTCTATTTCAATCTGCCATTCAATTTATTTCAGACATGGCAATCCCGGCCGGCCTAGCCGCACGGCCGAGCCGCCGGCCCAATTTCCATAAAAAACGCGGCCCCATACGAGCCGGGTTAATGACTTACTTCCGGAAACCCGGCTTTCCGGCCCAGCCGGCTTTTGGTTGCGGCCCGGCCAAGCCGGTCCGGCCGAGCCGAGAAACCGGAAGTTGTTCATTTACGTGAGAATCCGTGAATCCTATGCAAAATTGTGAATGGAAATGACCAAATTTATATGGTGGTGATTTTTCTCTTGCCATAAAGCTAATTATTGATTGAATCCGCAATTTGCGTACCGGAAACACGAAAATCACATTTGGGTCCGGCTTTCCGGCTTTTCAAAAGCCGGCGGCTTGGCCGGGGCTCCGGCCTCAAAACATAAAAAAGCCGGAGCCGGTCCGGAAGCTCCGGCCAAGCCGCGCGGCTCGGCCGCATTCTAATTTTTCCGGCCGAAAAAGCCGGCGGCCCGGCCGTTTGCCATGTCTGAGGTATTGCCATTTCAATACAATCAATTTCAATTTATTCAACACCGTTCCTGGGGGTTTTCAACGGCTTTGTAAAATGGCGCGTTTCAATAAAAAAAAACAAGGTTTTGACAAGATTTTCGCAACGTTTCAAGGGGCTTTCAAATGGTGTATAAATATCATTCCGCGCCGATACTTCTGCGTCGAGTTTTTTCGCCACGAAAGCTTTTCTGGTACTTATTACCGGCACTGGTACGAATTTTTACTTCCGAGCCCCTTTAAAGCGAAAAACAGCCAGCCGAGGCTAGCAATGATTTTTTGGGGAAATCCTGAATCTAGGGGCAGGCTAGCAGAGACCATTTGCCCCCACCCACTACCTTCACATCTTTATTGATGGTGTTCGGCATTTTCTCGATAATCTTCTCGGCCAGCTGATGCGACTCCAGATTTCCCACCGGCGCGTACACATTTTTGCCGTATCTGCAAAAAACCAAAAACTGTAACCTGGGGCAGGCTGGCAGGGATTCTTTGGGGAAAAACCGACTTGCTCCTCCGCTTCATCGGCAGATCCACCGGGTATTCCCTCGTGCTCCCGTTGATGTTTTCCGTCAATTTGATCCGAAACACGTGCACCACGCAATCTGGAAGGCACCCAATTTGATGGCGTAATCGGATGGCTTTTGCTAAAGGATCTCTGCTAGCCTGCCCCTCGTTTCTAAAGGGATCGTAACATCTCGTCCGAGTCCTAGAATTTTTTTTCTGGCGCGAACTGGGCAAGCTAGCAGGGTTTCTTTCGGGGAAACGAGCGGAAATTCCTGGCCCATCCATCTAGCTGACAACCAGTTTAGCTAATCTGACAGCCAGGGCAGGCTAGCGGAGATCATTGGGGAATTTCGAGGCAAAAATTGAACTTACCGGAAGCGTTCCCATTGCACGGCATCTTCACGGGTTGGGCTTTTTGCGGGATGGGAGAGGTTGAGGCTAAAATATAGGGCTAGAGAGAGTGAGAGAGAGAGAGAAAGAGAGTGAGAGAGAGAGAGAGAGAGAGAGAGAGAGAGAGACAAAGAGAGAGAGGGGAGAGAGGGGGGAGAGCGAGGGTGAGAGAGAGAGAGTGAGAGAAAGACAGAGAGAGGGGGGGAGAGAGAGGGAGAGAGAGGAGAGAGAGAGGGGAGAGGGAGAGAGTAGAGAGAGAGGGTAGAGAGAGAGAGGGAGAGTGAGAGAGAGAAACAAAGTTTAACCCAACCTGTGGTGAAAATTGCTAGCAAAAACAAGAGTTGCCTCATCCTGCGGGCATCCCTTCCCGGAAACGGGGTCCTGAAGAGGCCTGAAATTGGCGGATTACCCTAGCAAGATAGCCGAGAAACTGTGCGGAACCATTGGGCAATTGAGAACAAATGATCTCTGTTATCTTGGCGAGTTGGGAGGCAGGGTGTCAGATAACGTGAGTCCCTTTAAAACTGCGGGCAGGCTAGCAGAGATTGTTTGAGGTAAACGACGGCTGCCAGGCCAGAAAATAATCGGGCGAGGGGGGGTGGAACCGTAAAAAAGGCGTTGATTTGGGTGGGGAGAAGGGGAAGTGATGGAATGGAGTGGATCGATCAGGAGGAGAGAGAGAGAGAAAGAGAGAGAGAGAGAGAGAGAGAGAGAGAGAGAGAGAGATAGAGAGGGGTAGAAAGAGAGACTGATTGTCATTTTGCCAATATTCTCCGCGCTCTTTCTCATCGTGGAGTGGGGGGAGATCGAGCGGTGTGGAGAAGATCTGATAACGGGAGGCAAGGAGGAAGAGTGACTGTCTGTCTGTCTGTCCGTCTGTCTGTCTGTCTCTATCTCTCTCTCTCTCTCTCTCTCTCTCTCTCCCAGTTTAAAGGGGCTACGAAATGCCAAAAAATTGAGTGACGGCCCGAAAATCGGAGCCCTGTACGTCGGAGGCCTCTGTACGCCCAGGGGGCGGGAAGCTCGCAAAATTTGAAATTGCCTGTTGTCACCTCGAAATCACGTTCTCGGCTGTTTCTGGGCCAAATTTGTTGATTAAAACACCAAAACTATTTAAAAATGAGTGAGGATTTCAAAAATGGGCTCAGAATGCGCGAATTATAGTGTTTTCCCAAAGAAACCGGGCAAAAAAACTTCGCGCAAAAGAATGAAGAACTTCTCTCTCTCTCTAGAGTTTGATTAGTCGAAATTTTCGAAGTTTTCGAAGCAATTTCGTCGAATTTGACCAAAAAAGATCCGCGAATTTGGTCAGCATTTTCGGGTGGGCATTTGGCGATCGACACGCCATGTATCTGTGGGGCAGGCATACGCGAGGGGTCATCCCCGTTGGGGTGTGAAAACAACACCTGAGGGTATATTGGTCGGGCAATAGAGTTTGTGGCCATTCTTTCAGGGGTCAGCCAGCCCTTGCATTCCCTCATTCCGATCTCGATACGATATATTTACGGCTCCCCGACATTGGCGGCCTGTCATTTGCGGCCCGTCCTATTAAGCTCGTTTTTTGGTAAAGGTTGCTTAACGGGGGGACAAATAACGGGGGTGGCAACAATTTTTGTATTTATGAAGAACATCTTGTTATTTTGAAAACGCCATCGGATAGTGTCGAAAATGATACCACGAGTTTGAATTTCACTCCAAAAAACCTCACATTTCACCTCACACCGATTGTTAATTGCTTAAACTTTTTAGCTTAAAAAGTAGAAATTTTAAATTGTGGTATTTTGGACTGTAACTAAGGCTATTAGTCAATTTTCGACGCTCTATCCGATGGCGCTTTCACAATAACAGGATGTTCTTTATAAACACAAAAATTGTTGCCACGCCCACCATTCGTCCCCCGTTAAGCAACCTTTACCCCCGATTTCGACACCCTGTACGATCTCGCACCCATCCGAAGCGACTAGGCCCCCCGGTGGCACGAAGCCTTATTGGTAAGACTCCAGATACCCCCCCCCCCCAGCCGGCACCCAACTTTTGTATCCCGGCTCCCTGTTCATCTACAGGTGTCTAAAGTATACCAAAATGTTCGTCTTGCTCTGGCGAGTATTTTGGTGTACTTTACACACCTGTAGATGAACAGGGAGCCGAGATACGGCAGCTGGGGTCGGCTGGGGGGGTTATCTGGAGTTTGGCCGCCTTATTTTTAGGGCAAGTCCAGGGGTCAAGCGATCAAAACCGTTCAGGAAACTGGCCTTCGGGACGGTTAAGAGTGGTTAAGAGAAGAATGTTTAGATGGGTGGCAAACAAAGCCGCGGGGATGACGGTTACCACCGCTTCATCGACCGGATCGTCGACTCGCCGGATGACGATGGAAGCCGGTAATTTCTAAAACCGAGGTTTAAAGCGCACGTTGAGGGAGGGGCCGTGTACGTACGTATACACCCTATGCACGTAGGGAACGCGCGCACTGCCTGCCCGTGGCGTGGCAGGCAATTCCCCTCCTTTGCGGCCTGGGGCGCCCCTCGCCCGAGGTTGTAGCTGTGGCTGACTGGTATGCATCCGCGCCTCCCGAGCGGGGGGCCCGGGTTCGACCCCCGGCCGCGGCACAATCTTTGCTTTTTTACCAAAAAAAACCTCCCTGAACGTGCGCTTTAAAGAGCCTTGGAAAGATGGCCGAGCGGCCCCAATGGAGTGAGGGGCCTACGGGGGACCAGGCCCGGGAAAGGGCCGGTCCTAAACGCAAAATTTTGGCCCCGGCCCGGCCCTACTTTCTGACCTTAACTAAAGCCATGCATCAGAGGAGTCCTGACATCAGCTGAGAGTACGTTTTAATGTCTCAGGTCATGCCAAATGGCATTGCAGTTATTTCAGATTGTTTCCGGTAGAAAAAAGGAAAAAACAAAAAATTGACCTCGGGCGGGGTCGAACCCGGGTCGTTTTCCTCGTAAGGGATTTTGATCAAAAACGCTTTTTTTTTGTCCAAGCTGTGTAGATAGATAGCGTAATCTTTATCCCTGCGGAAATAGTAAATTTCAGAATGCCATCCTCATCCGCTCTCAACCGTACCCCGATGCTACCGTATCGCAAATTGCCATCTCGTCTCCAACATTTCGTCAATGGTCATCTCTCTTTTGAGACAAAGCATTGCTCCGTACCACTTCAAAGGTTAGTCCGGTTCTACACCGGTAACGTGGTCTTTGTACGAAATCGTGGTCTTTGTACGAAATCGTGGACTTTGTACGAAATCGTGGTCTAATGGACGCCGATGCGGGTAACGTGGTCTTTAATCGATATCGTGGTCGATTGCCGGCATCGGGGTCTTTAAAAATCGAAAAATCGGCGATTTTTTGGGCCTGTTGAAAACGTGGTCTTTAAGAATCCAGGTTCGGACCGGCTATAGACCACGATTCCAAAACTTCCGGAAAAGCCCCCCAAATCGCTGGAAAAACGTGGCAATTTCACCAGTATGTTTCTAACCTAGCACGTTATGTGGTTTATGGCCTTGTCCAAAACCTGCCCCACCTGCCCTAAAAATTTCGGTTTGATTGGAAATGAGGCGGCCAAATGCCAATACTTTTCTGAGTAAGACCTGCTAGCAAACACTTCCGAAATATTTTTTGCGGCGATTTTTATGGGAAAATTGAAGTTTGGGTATTTTTAAATTGCAGAACACTAAAATAAGCTCTAACGTTTCAAATATTGTCATTCAACAACTTTTGGAAACAGTTGAAACAGTACTTTTGGAACGCTTTTGAATAAGGTTACTCTTGGATAGGTTTGTGTTTTTTTCGGGATTTTTTCAACGCCGTCATCGAAAATATACAAAGAGTTTTTGTTTTAAGTCAAAATATTGTAATACAAAATAGTTATGGCAAAATCAAATATGAAACGTAGTTTTCACAGTGGAACATTGAATGAAAGCTAGTTTTCGACAGTTTAGACGTTTTCTCAAAATTCCTTGAATGTTTTCTCCATGTTTTCTCAAAATTTCTTGAACGAATAGAGGGTCGTAAAATATACAAAGAATTTGTTTATAGCTAAAAATGATTGATTAGGTCGGCCCCGACAGTCTTTCCCCGCGACGTAGTCTGGATACACCGGAATCGCATTTTTGGGCTTTACCGGCTTCTTGAAACAGTCAATTTTAAACTTTTTCAACATACGAGTGTACCCGGATCATCCTAGTGAAATTGCCACGTTTTTCCAGCGATTTGGGGGGCTTTTCCGGAAGTTTTGGAATCGTGGTCTATAGCCGGTCCGAACCTGGATTCTTAAAGACCACGTTTTCAACAGGCCCAAAAAATCGCCGATTTTTCGATTTTTAAAGACCCCGATGCCGGCAATCGACCACGATATCGATTAAAGACCACGTTACCCGCATCGGCGTCCATTAGACCACGATTTCGTACAAAGTCCACGATTTCGTACAAAGACCACGATTTCGTACAAAGACCACGATTTCGTACAAAGACCACGTTACCGGTGTAGAACCGTTAGTCCTTTATAAGCGAGAGAGGGAGAGAGGAGAGAGCGAGAGAGAGAGAGAGCAGCAATCTTTCGCATTATCACGATTTTCTCAATCTAATTTTGTCAAATATAAACAGCGGAACTGTTTCCAAATGGTTTTTTCTATTACTAAACGTGAAAACTATACAAAATTGTATTAAAAAGATGCCAAGAATGCCGTTTTTCGATGAAGCATGGCCGATTTCGAAATTTCGAAACCTTTTAGACGGCGTTTCTAGTTGAAATATAGTTATTCTGACTAATCGCACTTCCTATTAAGTTACTAGACCTTTCTACTTATACAAAAAATTTCGGTCCTCCCTACAACCTCCCCCCCCGATAATGCAAAAGAACCGGGGGGAAGGGTGGGGGATCTGTCGAATCGCGTTCCATTTGTCAGGTCTTTTCCTCGCGGCCCGCCCACGTCTTTCTCCTCTACGGCAGATATCACGCCGTTCACGTTGAGGTGCTAGCGGTCAGTGAAAGCCGTTTTCTATCAGAATTCGTTTTCGCGTGAACTGGTGGAGAAACACATTTGCCAAAAACGCATTTTTTTTTTTGTTTTGCGAAGTTCTTCCATTTAGCAATTTTACAAGCAAAATGGTAAAAATCCTTAACAAAATGGGCGACGAGCCGTGGTGCTCCGGGGCATAACTCGAAGCCCTGACGCAATTTCTGACTGCAATTTGGAAAACTTATGTAATCGATAATGGGGATCACGCGCATCTAATTATCTTTACCAATTGTCCGCGGATTCGGACTTAAAGGGCTGGAGGAGGTCGGGGTGACGGACCGCCGCGGCGCTACCATCGACACTTTCCCTCGCGTAAGCGCCCCCAAAACCCCCTCCCTCGTTTGAAGAAACCAGTTTATTGGCTATAACTTTTTCATTTAGCAATGTTTTCAACTAAAAATTTGCGTAGATCGAGGACTTAGTGATACGCATTGATGGTAAAAATTTGAGCCGGATTGGATAAAAGGCGGTCAAGTTCTAAGCCATACGCGGTTTTGTGACACTGTTTCGGCTGAAAAAGAGACGCGTAGACAGCAAAACATCTCTAGAAAGTTGCAAAGTACGTTGCTATCCTTTAGCTAGGTTTTTTACAACATTTTTTAGCTATTATCGCGATGAAATTGCTTTATTTCTAATGGCAGTTCTTGTACAGGTGGCAATGCGCCCTAGGGTATGTGGGGGCCCTCCGCCGCCCCTCGCCACTCGACTATTTGGTGTACTGGCTAGCGCATCGGACTGCGGGGCGGACCATCCCTGGTTCAACCCCCGTCCGGTGCGATCCTCTTTGCTCTTTCAGCAATTCCATCTTTCTCCAGCCCTTTAAGAATGGAATTTTGTAAAGTGACGGGAAAGCCCCCTTCCGGGAACACCTCGCTCCCCAGGACGGAAGGGGCCTTTCCCGCCGCCGACCGACACCTCCCCGGTGGTGTAGTGGATTGGCGCCTGGCCTACCAAGCGCGTGGTCCCGTGTTCGAATCCTTAGCGTATGACAATTTTTGCTTTTTGGTAGTTCAGCAACAAAACATATTTCTAGGCTCTCGGTGTGCAAGAGTTAGGCCAGGGCCTCGCTATAGCCCCGCAGGCCAAGGATGGGCTCCGGCTCTCGCGCCGCAGGCCATATCCTGAAGAAAAACCGGTAGCTCGCGCAGGCTCAACGATTCTAGCGCAACGCTGGCTGGCAGGCGCCGCAGGCCAAAGAATGGCCGCTTGGGTGGCCGATCACCTGTTCGAAAATCATCTGTTCGAAAACCATCTGTTCGAAAATCATCGGTTCGAAAAATCACCTATTCGAAAAAGGTCCCAAATGGGGAAAAATTCTATGGGAAGCTATTGCTATTAAAATGCTGTGTTTCGCATGTTTCGTGGGAAAGTTCGAGGAAAATCTGAAATTGCGCGGCTATATCGAATCCTCCGCCAAGCCAAAGAAGCGCCCGAGGGTGACCATCGACGAGCAGCAGCAGCTCTGCGAGAACTACAGCAAAGAAAATATGGCCGAGTTCCTCGACAACATCGCCAAAACTTTAACCTGAATCGTCATGAATATGTCTTTTAAAGTCTTTTTGTTTTTTTTT